TGTGTGAATTGATAATAATTAAGAAGGCTACAAAAATTTTATTAGGCAGAGATATCATTAATAAATTTAATTTGTCTTTGAAAGATTCTGAAGTTATTATAAATGATATAACAATTTGCCCTGATAAGTTATCTGATTTGTTGTCAAAATTTTCAAATGTTTTTAAAACAGAGTTTTCCACAAACCTCACCCAGTTCCATTTGCTTTTCGTGAGAAGGTGAAAAATGAGCTTCACAAATTAGAAGCTGAAAAGGTTATAGAGCAAATTTCAAATTCAAATTGGGGAACACCGCTAGTACCCGTTATAAAAGCAAATGGCAATATTCGTATTTGTGGCAATTATAAAATAACAGTGAACAAGTATTTGAAGGATTTTAATCATCCCTTACCGAGAATAGATGATATCTTTGTTGCCTTATAGGATGGTCAAAAATTTACTAAATTGGATTTTTTAAATGCGTATAACCAACTGGTTTTAGATGATAATACCAGTCGTTTGTTTTCGTGGAGTACTTCATATGGTATTTATAAGGTAAATCGTTTGACTTATGGTACAAAACCTGCTTGTTCAATATTTCAAGCTATTGTAGAAAAAGTTTTACAAGGTTGTGCAGGTACAGTAAATTTTTTAGATAATGTAGTGGTCACAGGTAAGAATTTTGATAAACATTTAAAAAATTTTCAAGAAGTCTTATGTAGATTAGACAAGGCCGGATTTAGGCTAAATTCAGGAAAATTTGAGTTTTTTAAAGGTAGTATTTCTTATTTGGGTCATAAAATTACAAGCCAAGGATTAGAAAAAGATAAAGGAAAAGTAAATGCTATAATTAATGCACCTCGACCCAAAAATTTAACAGAAGTTCGTGCTTTTGCTGGGATGATAAAGTATTATTCACGTTTTATTTAAAATTTGCAAGGAATTTTGAAGCCCCTATACAATTTAATTAGTAAAGGTACAGAATTTAAGTGGACAAAAGAATGTGAAACAGCTTTTGAAATGGCAAAAAAAGAATTACAAATTGTTGGTTCACTATGATCCTCAGAAACCTATTCGTTTAGCTTGTAATGCTAGTGAATATGGTATTGGAGCAGTTCTGATGTATGTAATGGCTGATGGTTCGGAGAGGCCAATTTATTATATTTCTCGTGTATTGACTAAGGTTGAGCAAGGTTACTCAATGATAATGAAAGAAGCATTAGCTGTATATTGGTCTGTTTCTAAACTCTACCAATATTTAAAATTTAATTTAAAATTTCAAGTGACCATAAGCCTCTGCAAGCTATCTTTGGAGAGCATAAAAGCTTACCAAAAATGGCTGCTGGGCGTATTCAACGTTGGTCATTGTTTTTAGCTGGTTTTAATTATACTTTTCGCTTTATTAAAGGTGTCGATAACTCTAAAGCTTATGCTCTATCAAGGTTACCTCTACCTGTAGGTGAAGATAAAATTGAAACAGATTTAAATTTTGAATATATCAATTTAGTGGAAAACTTACTACCAGTTGATTCAAATTTATTATGTTCTGAAACAAGAAAAGATGTAGTTTTAGGTGGTGTGTATAATTTAATTAGATATGGGTTTCCTAAACATATTTAAAATTTAATTTTTAAGCCTTTCTTAGCTAGAAAGAATGAACTCTCAATAGAAAATGGTAATATTATGTGGGGTTATCGAGCAGTCATTCCCACTAGCCTCAGGCAACAATTGCTTGAGAAACTTCATAGTAATCATGAAGGGATAATTAAAATGAAATCAAATGCACGTTCATACTTCTGGTGGCCTAATCTAGATTCTGATATAGAACAAAGAGTAAATGGTTGTAAAGTCTGTGGACATCTAAAACCAGAGCCCATCAAAGCTAAATTAATCAAAACTCAATTATCTACTTATTTTTATGAAAGAATTCATGCTGATTTTATGGGACCTATAAAGGGGAAAATGATACTAATAATTATTGATTCTTTTTCAAAGTGGCCGGAAGCTTTCATAATGAGTTTATAGAGTAATAGAATTTATTTTTGTAAGTTAATAGATCAAAACATTGTTTGGAAAAGACATTTGAACCAGATATTAAAGAACATATCTAATCCCTTAGATATAATTGTGCCAAACAAGAATGTGTCTCAACCTTTAGATGTAGTTGTGCCAAATCCAGTTATTATACAAAATGAATCAGAGCAAGAACTACCGATAACTCCCGAGACAGAGCTAGAGGTGATTCCAGAAATAAGTGAGAATGGTTTAAATTCTGATAATAATACTTCAGAGGTTAAAAATGAAATTTTGTTAAAAACTGTATCTGGTGCAAAAGATAATATTAAGTTAGTAGTAGACCTAACAGGGAAATTAAAAAACCACAACGATTGAATTTGTAAAGGGAGGTATTTGTAAGATATTCATGTTTGAAGAATAAGAAGAATTTGTACTGTTATTTGTCAAGTCACAATGTATTTGAGGACATAACCTATATATGACAATTAATTAGCAATTTAAGTGTAATGCACCTGTTTTGTAATTTATAAAACGTTCTTTTGAAATATATGTTTATTTGAGCCATCTACTATTTATTATTACTATATAACAATTATTTGTTTTGATTTTATGTGTAGTTTACTATATACGTACAAATTTTGTGTACCTACATTACAAAGTGATCATTAAGAAATTAAGTGGGAATACCTTAAAATAATTTAAAAATTTTAGCTGTACTCGACCCATTTTTATGCAGATACTACATTTTTGCCCATTTGGCAAAGTCTTTATCTTAGTTTTTGTTATAACGTATTCGTTACCCCCTCCCCTTTCCACCGATACCTCACACGTTATTGTACGTTTAGACGTTTGGACGTTGCAAGCTTAGTGTCTTTCTGGCATTGTCTTTTACGTTTTGTTTTTTGTGTTAACGTACACGTCGGGGCGTCTGATATGAGGTTACGTAAGCTTGACAGACGAAAAGAAGAAGAATTGACGCTATATTCACGTTAAACGTATGACAGTTGGTATGACCGTTGACAGATGACCATTGACGGATGACAGCTGTCAGCCGGCATCTTGTGACGTCACACTGTATGGCCCAAGCGACCCAACCTCTGCTCAACAAGAAAGGACAAATAATTACATTTATAAAATACCTTGTGAATGCGATCAGTTTTATTTAGGTGAAACATCAAGGCCATTAAATGTTAGAATAAATAAACATCAATCTTATATTAAAAATAGAGAATTTTATAGATCTCAAATATGTAAACACGCATGGGATAATGAACATAGGGTTTAATGGAATAATTCAAATATAGTCCCAAAAGAAACGGATGGTAAAAAAAGGAAAATCAAAGAAGCGGCTCTGCTAAATGAGACCAATTATGTCGCAAATTCGTCGGCAGAATGTAGTAGGATCTGGTTACCAATATTGAAAGAGGAAGTTATTAATAAGAAAACACCAGTATTAGTAAGTCAGTAACATATAGAGGATACATCATTTATGTTTTTTAAATAACGAAACACATAAAATCAGAATTTGGTGTTTATTGAAGGTAAAATAAATACACGACCAAATGCTTACCATGTCGGGATAGTATTATGAGATTTTTTTTTCCCTCATAATATACTATTAGTTACCTTCAAGGTAAAATGCACTTCAAGGTAAAGTGCATGGGAAAAGAGGTACAGGACGGAGAAGAATATGCTGGCTACATAACCTGCGAAAGTGGTTTAACTTAACCACTACTAGACTTTACAGGGCAGCAGTCAACAAAGTCAGAATAGCCATGTTCGTGTCCAATATCCGTAACGGATAGGCACTATAAGAAGAAGAATTTACTATGGAATCACTAACAGGAGAATTTTTGCTGTCATGATGTCATGTGTTTATCTTTTTAAAGACGAATTACATGCTATGATTTTTTCTGACGGATATTCTCAAGTTAAAGTTGATTTCATGTAATCGAATGAACTATCTTATAAGTAAAGTCGTCCCAGGAGCGCAACTCAACAATATTGGCAATATCATTTTAAAGTCGTCTACTTTAAAATGCATAATGTATGTCTGAATTGTCAATATAAATGAGTCAAATAAAATTAAATTATTTTAAAAATTTTTCACTAAGTAACAAAAAAACAGATAGGTCGGTCAGATAGCTCAGCGGGCTGTGCGGCTGCCTCTCATTCACTTCACTGTCGAATGGTTTAGTGGATGTGGGTCGAGCCCCAGCTCGGTGTACAGAAAACAAAAAGTCTAACGCAGCAGTTTAAAATTCTAGATGAATCTGCGGCTTAGACTAGGATATGCTGGGTTCTGATCGGCCTATGGTGGAGCAGTACGGCAAGAGATAAGGGCTTGCGGCTCGGTGATACTCCTTCATTGATCCCTACCGGACGGGCGTAACGCCTAAAAAACCGGATATATATATAACAAAAAAACAAAATTTGTTTAATTTACTGTTTGTATTTTGAGAACGATTTCCGAAGTAGAAATTGAAACGTCAATAAACGTATTTTTACCTTTAATTGTGGCTATTTCCAGTTAAATAGTAATTAATTTAAAATGCCACAAGAAAATAGCTTCAAAACAAACTAAATACGTGAATTAAAAATATACTTTACAGCTAGATAATTCTATCTCGTATAGTACATAATCATTTCCTGTTTCTATAATAACTTGTACCAAAAGCAATGTACTAAATCAAACTGCATATACTAAATAAACCTTATAAGGTTAAATTCATTAAAAGTGTATAATAAATATGAAATATCTGAACATAACCCTTAGCATTTTCATTATAAGTATTAACCCCATTTATCTCTTTTACAACATACTTAGGGTTAGTAAATATTTTACTATTCCTTCACGCTCGCTTTGTCTCTAACCACGAGTAAAGTGATTTAAAATAAATTTATACTCCCATTAAGTACATAACATTTATGACTTGTTGGCCTGTATGAAAAATAAATCCTTCTAACAAGTTATAGTACACAAGCTCATAATAATTCTTCTTCTTACCTGGTTCAGCGGCACATCATGACCGACCATACATCTCAAGCAATAAATTAGTGCCGATAGAGTTATTGCTTTGGGAGCATTGCAGTTGCCCCACACTTCCGAACCCGTGCCTCTGAAAAAGAAATAGAGATATAATTCAAGTAGCATATAGTGGAAAAGTTTTTTAAAAAAGTAACAAGGTGTATCCGGAAGCGTAAGAAGCTAAAGAGATAAAGTATCGTTAATAGCTCCAATATATTTTTATTTCAGTTAACAGCCAAACTTTGGGTATGGTAGAATTGCGTTGGGGTTAATGCCTATTGCTCAAATATAAATTTGTGGGTTGGTTTTGAAATATCGCGTTAGGGAGAAAAAAATCGGAAAAATTGTTACTGTAATCGACTATTTATTATATCTTTAAACAAAGTATAACATTGATAATTTTAACAAGATATACAAATCCGACGAGGAGTGAGACAGGGTTGCGTTTTATCACCGCTACCGTTTAATTTGTATTCAGAGTCTATATTCAGAGAAGCATTAGACGAGGTCCAAAACGGAATTAATATTAACAGGATCAGCATATACAACATCAGATATGCTGATAATACCGTCTTAATAGCAAGCAACGCACAAGAACTACAAAATATAATAAATGCGGTAGGTCACCACAGCGAAATGTTCGGTTTACATCTAAACGTTGCCAAAACTAAAACTATAATGTTTTCGAAGACTCCAATAAACAAAAAAGAGGTTAGTCTTCGTAAGTGGGTATATTTATTTAAAAACCCTTAAAAGGGCTACATAAAAAAACAAACATTTTCGGACTAAACAGTCCATCATCAGGTTTAAATTTTACAATTGCTAGGTTAAAATGCCTGAGCCACCAAAATACATGGGTAAAAACCCTTTAAATTACATATAGTTGTAAAAGATTATACATCATGTTGTTAAAAAACTGTGATGTTTAGTATTAAATTAAATATGACTTCAGGTAACATACATGGTTGAACTGAGTTCCAGAGCCGGAGAGTAAACCTCTACACACGGTGAACAGCTGGTATCAGTTACAGACGAACCATTAAGGAAAGTCATAAGGCTCGAATGTGGGTACAGTTTATTTATTTACAATTATAGTGCCCCATTGTAGTCCATTATAGCCCTTAAGTCTTATAAAAATCAGTATCTACTTATACAAGTTGTTTGTTGTTTTTGATAATATAAGCAGGATCTGGAATTGTAAAATTTAATGATCTTTTATCAGCCTATCTTTTTTAACCCTTTTGTAAGAACATATCTCATGTTTACATACCGAGTAATTTATATTGACGTTTTAGGTACAACTGAAATAGATAGTATAGTATAGTGCAGCCAGTTGACATTGAAAATAAAAATGATGCTAAATATAGTGCTGATACTTTGATGGAAGAGTTTCTGGAACAGGTAATTTTATGCATTGCGCCTACAACTGTATTATGCATTCAAATAATCACTAATAAGCATTACCATATCTACTTTAATTTATAAAAAGTTTGTATCTTATTTCATTATTAAATATATTTTTATATTTCAGATGTTGCAACAAACAGCTGCAACGAAAGCCCCTCTAAGTTATCTGGTAGTACACCAAAATGAGATTGAAAATCAAAACTGTGTGCGAATGTTAAGAAAGCATGCATCTTTTTTAAATAGAAAAAAGAATATGATAAAATTTATTTAAATAAATTGTTACACAACGAGAATCAATTTTTAACTGTATGTAAATCATTCTGTTACAAAGCCCTTATGCATACATGAAAAAAAGATAATATGAAACATTAGCAATTATGCGCATTATACAAGGTATACAATGAATAATGCAATTTTACCTAAATGTAGGGTAGAGGCACCACTTATGGCCACTTTAAGAACTTTCTTTATCATTTTTCTATCTAGAAACATGTAGGATTTTAATAAAATATTTCCGCTCAATGCCATTTTAACTTTCGAATCTGCTCTACTAGGAAATCAACTGATCATAAAGATTCAATTCATAATGAAATTATTATAATGTTTTATATTTTGAACAACAGAAATCCTTACTTTTGGCCACGTGTTTCTACTTTTGGCCATACACTTTTCCCACTTTAGGCCACCAAGAACTAGTGAAAAATAGAGATACAAGTTGATATTTATGCTTAAATATTTATTGAACTACAAAAATATGTAAAACAAAATAAATTTATGGCAACACAAATAAGTAAAAGTATTTAAAATAATAATTAAAACTTTTTTTAAATAGTACTTATGATTTCATATTTATTCATAAATGTCTAGTTGTCCTGGACTAGTCTTAAATTTTCTTCCTTGTTCCTGGACAATAGGCAATAGGTAGTTTTACCAAAATATCGCCTTTATCTATACTGCAAACGTCATTTTCTATAGGACAAAACACAGTTTTCTCTTCATTGGCACATTCAAAACATTGTATTTCATACTCTTCTGATGAAAGGACATCTATAATTTTGGCACCATATTTGTATATTATCGTCGATCTTTTACCCAATTGCTTAAATCTGGCAAGCACAAAAGTCTCTTAATTTAAGATCATCGGTATCGTATATTTGAATATTTTCTGGTTCTGGTTCGGTGAAGTCAACATCGTGTCCACTACTACCAGTTTCCTCCCAGTCTTCATGTTCTTCTGAAGAAGAGCTTTAACCTAAATCGTGTTTTGACTTTTTTTGTGCCTTCATCTGTTTGTTCTGCTCTCGAGCCTGTTTCCTTTCTCGCATTCTTCATGATACTCCACCCACTTATCAGATGTGACAACATTTGGTGTATATTCTTTTTTCCTTTTTTTTTGAGTCCAGTTCCTTTTGTTGAGGGTACGAGAGCTAACGGGGTACTAACGTAGAGAGTAACTCTCTACGTTAGTACATACAATGCCAGAAGTCTACTGTCCGAGGAAAGATTCACTGAAATGGAAACCGAAATGAATAAAATAAAATGGGATGTCATAGGTATTAGCGAAGTTAGAATGAGAGGTGAAACTTTAAAAACACTCAAATCAGGGCATATATTCTATCAGATTGGTCCTAAAACTACATCAGTTGGAGGCATCGGTTTCTTTGTCCATAAAAATCACGCGAACAAGATAATAAACATCAAAAGTATATCATGTAGAGTGGCATATCTTATTCTGAAGCTGAACAGTAGGTATCAACTCAAAATTATCCAAGTATACGCTCCAACAACAGACCATACAGACGAAGAAATTGAAATGTTTTATGACGATGTATCCACTGCGCTTGATGATTCTCGTACTCAATTCACAATTTTATGTGGCGATTTCAACGCAAAAATAGGGGTAAAAGAAGCAGATCTAGAAACATCTTTAGAACAATTCGGTTCCCCAGGAAGAAATGATCGAGGAGAAAAGCTACTAGGATCCCTACTGCAGAATAACTTATTCAACATGAACAGCTTCTTTCACAAAAAGATGCACAGAAGATGGACTTGGGAAAGTCCAAACGGTAGAACAAGGAACGAAATCGACTACATCATAAGTGATCAAAAACAAATAATTAAAGATGTAACAGTACTCAACAAGTTCACCACAAACAGCGACCACAGGATGATACGAGCGAAAGTTCAAATAGAGGAGTACTATAGAGGAAAATAACAGCCTAAAAGTTCTACGTAGAAAGCTAACGAATGGGAAATGCGAAATTCATAAATTAAGAAACAAGCAAAATGAACTAATATCACGTAGAGACGAGTTAATACAGGTCGTCGAAGAGTTTTACGAGGACTTATATAGAAGTAGACGAGAAGATAAAACAGGAATACAAACAGCCACTTCAAAGAAGATCAAGAATCAAGGTTCCGAACTAATGCCAGAGATAAAGCTAGATGAGATTCGACAAGCATTAAGAAAAATGAAAAATAACAAAGCCCCAAGAGAGGATGGAATCGTAATAGAAGCTATCGTAAATGGAGGAGATATGCTATTAAATAAATTAAGAAAACTATTCAATCTATGTTTGCAGCAAAGAGAGGTGCCCAAAGAGTGGAACAATGCTACAACCATCCTTTTGCATAAAAAAGGAGATAGAACGGACCTAGAAAATTATAGACCTATTAGCCTGTTGAACCACATATACAAGCTCTTCACTAGGGTAGTGACATCAAGATTGGAGAAAAAATTAGATTTCTACCAACCGAGACAGGCAGGATTCCGCTCAAATTATGGTACCAATGATCACCTCCACACAGTAAAAACACTCATTGAAAAATCTATGGAATATAACAAACTTCTTGTTCTCACTTTCATAGATTTTCATAAAGAGTTCGACACGATCGAATTAGACAGCCTTATAGAAGCCATGAATGACAGCAGGATTGACCATAGGTATAGTGAGCTTATTTATAATATTTACAAAAATGCCACTGTGACTGTTAAAATAGACAATAAAACCCGACCAATACAAATAAATCGTGGAATAAGGCAAGGAGATACATTGTCGCCGAAATTATTCATAACGGCATTAGAATATGCCTTTAAGATGATCAATTGGGACCACAGAGGAGTAACGATAGACGGCGAAAAGCTTAACCATCTCTGTTTCGCAGATGACATTGTCCTTATCACAGATAATTTAGGAGAAGCTACAGATATGATAAACGAATTGGATTTTGCATGTTCGAAGGTGGGCCTGAGAATGAACTTGACCAAAACTAAGTTTTTGACAAATTTGGTCCCCAATAACCATTTGACTATTCAAGACAAAGTGATAGAACTGGTGGAGAAATATACGTATTTGGGTCATGAAATAAGAATCAGCAGGGATAACCAAACATGTGAGATCCAACGGTCTATGCTGGGAGTGACGTTGAGGGACCGAATAAGAAACGAAGATCTGCGAAGAAGGACGAGTATTACTGATGTTGTGGAACGAATAGCGGAACTAAAATGGAACTGGGCAGGCCATATAGCGAGAATGCACGATTCACGATGGACGAGCAAAATTACAAATTGGAGGCCAAGAGCAGACAAGCGCAGTAGAGGAAGACCACCTACACGTCGGGCCGAACGACATCAGGTGTATCACTAAAAATTGGCAACAAAGACCACAAAATCGTGAGGAATGG